GTGAAAAGCTGAGTACAAGGCATGGTTAATATTGATGCCTATCTGTTTCTTCTTCTTCTTCTTCTTTTTGTCAGCAAAGTTCATCTATGATATCTACCATTCTTTCTGTTAATTGTTAGTAATACTGGGATATTGGCCTGGCCTGTTTACATAAATTTTCAGAGAAGCCTTTACGATGTAAACTTAAAAATAACTTATATTCCTTTTTTTTTTAGATTTTTTAAATTTCTCTAAAATTTAAAAAAATTGTTTTTAATTTATAAAAAATTATTTATATTAATTTTTTTCTTTTGTAAAACTTTTATAGAAATTCACCCTTAATTTTTCTAATTCAAGTAAGTGAATTAGTAATTAGACTATTGGGTTATTATTAGTGAGTTCTTATTAGTAACTCAGTTTTCTATTAAAAAAATACTCACTAATTACAACTTAACAGTCTAACTGTTAATTCACTAAAATTAGAAAACTAGCAATATCTGGTAGTAGTTTGAGCTTGTTACAATGGATTGATGTCCATTTATGCAACATACCCCCAAAATGAATTTTATAATATGCAAGTGTTTAATCATTTTAAAATAAATATTTTAAACTGTGAACTCGAGTTCACGACGATCTAAAATATCTTTATTTTAAACCCATCTCTACGTAACGATGATGCGATTTATGCAAGAGAAAAAATCTAATGATTCTTCAGAGGAAACTTCTGGTATAAAGGGAAATTCTGTAGCTTTCCAATGTAGAGACCCATTTGAATAGGGATTTTTTAACGTTCTTGTGAGTTTGAGTAAGAAAAATTTATAGCAAATTGCAAGAAAGGTCTGGACTTTAAATTTCTTAATTCAATTAAACATTCTGCACAAATCTCAGCTATTGCTATGTTACCCACAAATTTCTTCGTTATTCATAATGGTTTCACTCCACTCAAGTAGGATTTTTTTGTATATATAAAAAAAATGTAATCTAAATTAAAAAATAATAAAAATTATAGAAAAAATAACCTTTTTTATAATATGAGAGGTGAGAATGAAAGTAGAAATGTTAAAGAATAATGGAATTAAGGGTTTAGATCGAAGATTTTAGAAAATGAACACTAAGGAAAAAAAAAGAAAAAAAAATGCGGATTGATACTTTAGTATTTGTTAGAGGATTTCTTTTCACCTCCTTTTCTTATCTAAAAATATAATTTTAAAAGGTATAAAATATATTATTTCAAAATTTCATTTTGGAAGATATTTATAAATTATCTTTTTAAAATATATTTAAAATTTTCAGAAACAGTAATAAAACATGAGGGTGCTGAAAAATATTTCCTTTCTTAGTTGACAATTGGTCTCATGTTCTTTTTTTTTTTTGTGTGAGGATACTTTCCATTGATGATTCAGGCCGTCGTGACTGTGTCCAATAAGAAACGTTCAGAACGAGGCCCACTTTCTCAAACGTTTCTAGTGATTTATCAAACTTGAAATTACAATTTCTTTTACATAGTTATAGACACAATGTAGAAATGAAAAGCAGACCAGTTTCGTATTCAAAATCTTATGTTAGACGAACGGATTCAATTAAATGTAAATAATAATAAGAATGAATTGTTAAGTTTAAAGTATATCTAACAAGTATAGGCACTAAAATTATTATTTTTAAAAATGAGTTTGGAAACAAATGTCACATTTAGTTCCCTGCCTAAATTTCATCTGTTATTTTTAATAGTGTCGATTAAATAATTAATAAAAAAATATATTAAAAACTACATCAAGAATATATAAAATATTATAATTTAAATATATTAATAATATTTTATAAAATATTAAATATTTAATTAATACATTTGAAATACTATTTTGCCTTTATTTTTTTTATATCCTACGTGTGTGTTGATGTGTGAATTAGTTCGTGCCTAAAAAAACGTTGTGTTCATTCTTCAATTAATCCACCATTCTTATTGATTTTGACATGTAATAACAGCCAACCCTTTCATCTTTCTACTCTCATTCTTCCCACATTTCCACTGTCAAATAAAACATTAAAACAATACAACTTTCGTATCCAATTGCTATTCCTTCAAAACATCCCTTTCGCTCTTACTCTTTTCCAACTTATCAATATATACTTTTTGCAAAAATATATGATTTTTTTTTAATTAATGTCTTATTAGTTTGTATTTTGATACTTTATTATTATTAATGTAATGATATTTATGACAGTTTGCGTATAAACTGATTAAATTATTACACGTAATAAATTAAAAATAATTTAACTTATTTAACATTTTAATGTTAAGAAAACATAATTACAAGTGTGTTCGCATGGTTAATGAAACAATTATCATAATTTTTTTTTACAGTTTTTTAATTATTTTTTTCAAACTTCCCTCTCTTTTTTTCCCAATTTAAGTCAATGACAGGACGGAGAAAGTAGAAAAGAAAAAGCTATCCTACCTTAAACATACTGATAAAAAGGTCTTAATTTTGAATGTTGTTGATGACCCTTAATTAAAAAGTTAGTTGAAAATATTATTATAATTACGAAAGTTTGTAGCATGTCTTGACATTAATGAGATAGAACAACCATCCCACAATGAAAGCTTCAGCTTATCAAGTAAGTAATGTCCAACAAACTGTTAAGAAACACGAAGTGTTGTGTAATAATCAGAGGACCAAATGCTCAAGAAAAAAACTTTGTATCGGTTAGCAGTTAATCGTATCGATTTGACTAAGCGCATGGTTTGGTCTGTTTTGAAATTAAACAATCGCTTATTTCTTTTCGTTAATTTTTTAAGAAAACTTAAAAAAATAATTAATTATAAAAGAACAATTTGATTTCCAAACACGTGCGAAGTGTCTGATCTATATGTTGTGCGTCTTTGACTTTTCCCAGCTCCTAATTTCATTTAGTACGTACTACCTACGTGCTTGTTTTAAATATTTGATAGGTACTATATTGTATAATTAATTATTTTGTTGTATTTAAAATTTAATATAAATGAAATAAAATCTTTATTTGATATATTTGTATTAAGATGTGAAATAATATTTTTGTTTAATTCAAGCATGAATGATAGATTTGGTAGAAAATGGAAAAATAAAAATCAAAGAAGCTATGCGCACAAATATAGGTGTGAATAGTTTTTTAAAATATAAATATAAAAATATCGTATTCAAATGTATGTGGTCCCATGTCATCCCTAATCTTAGGGGAAGGAGCATGGCGTGTAGCCGTTGGATGATATAATGGAACATGTTGGACTTTGGATGATCGTCTATGTTAAACATAAATTGAGGAAAGCACAAGGAAAAGGTTGTTTCCGTTTGTATGGAACTAATGGTCAACAGTGTGGGTGTACTAAAACGTTGAACACATTGTTGTTATTAATATTAAAAGGAGGACGTAGATGTCAAACCCAACTTTTGTTTTGTTTAATGAAATTCTGTACGTTTGGCCTCACCTGATCAGCGTAGCACCCCAGAGTCTCTGGCTCGTACTGCCTAGTTAGTAGATGCCATCTCTTCTCTCTCAATTATTAGTGCCTTCTTTAATTACATGGAAATAATATATTAATTATTAGCATAGTTTAGAAATATTGTCATAGAATAAATTCCTATCAAATATCAACTCTCCGGACAAATCAAATCAAATCAAATGTGTATTATTTTCTCTGATTTAATTTACATATTTAAACTAGCAAAAAAGAAATATTTATATTTTATTCCCATATGCGTTGAATTAGAGTGACAAAAAGATTCGAACAGGGTAAACACCATGATAATGTTTCTATTCCTCGGTGCTCGTGGCTGACCAAATTAGCCATTGACCTAACAAAAGGAATCAAGTTGGGTAATCTTTGTTACTTTATTGAAACTATATGCATTACTTTTTTCATCGTATTGGGAATCCACGCTAAAATTCAAAATTAAAGTTCCATTAGCTGCTACTTGCTTTGTACCCGTTGCCATCACCCGAGATAGATGGTCAACCATAAACAAAAGGACGAAACTTCCGAGGAGATCACTATATTTTTTATTCTATGGAGTATTTTATCACTGGAATGCACTTTGATCCGTGTTATACAAACATACCAATGGCAAAGTTAATACAAGTCAGGAAGAAACAACCTCTTCATATTTTTGGTAAAATAATAATAACCTCTTCAATTTTGGAGGAACAACCTTGTTCTTCAAAAACTTGAAAAGCCAAATTCAGGAAATAATATAACCCAATGTGATTTATTGCAGTGCTCCAATAACCAACAAAATTTTGATTGATTTTTCTTTCGGTATAATAAGCAGGACACCAAAGTCAAAACACTCATCATATTAACAAGAACCAAGTGGTTGCTAATAAACATCTTAGAAGTTGTTTTCAACCTTAATACAGTGTAGTTAATGCATGAATGCGCTTGAAAATGACAGGATTCTGAACCAACCCAACACAAGTACAAAGAAAAAACTGGCTTTTTACAAATTAAAGTTAATAAATATTTAATGTAATTTTGTATTTCCTTATAAAGAGATCGCAAAAATTCAAGTTTATGGTAAAAACTGTAGTTAATAATATTAAAGTAGATAGAAATGAAAGATTATTAAAATGGAATATATAACTGAAGGGTTAAGGAAAGTGGGAGACTAGTACAGTACGTGCAAGTGCGTTGACCATGAAAGACAGGTAATGCGTTACAAAACAGGGTAGAGATTACAATATCTGCGTATTATTATTAAATAATGAAAGAATGAATTGAGTTGGTGCCTTGGCGGTGATGGGTTTTTAATTTTAATTTATAATAAAATATTTTGTTGGCAGGGCACTTTCGTACGAAGAAGTGGTAGGACCCACCACCAAGTAAACATTGTTTGTTTGTTTTAATGGCAGTGCGGTTTACCTCATTATTTATTAATTAATTCAAATTGCATGCATAAAAAGTCCAACGAATATCTACCCTTGGATTGACGATACTTGTTTGACTTTCTAATCTCTTTCCTCTCTCACCCCCTTCTTTTATAACCTCTTTCTCTTCCTCTTTCCTCAACCAAACACCAAACATCAAAACCTCTCCATATCCAACGTTGGATGGCAATAGATCTGGTTGCTCTTCCCAATACGAGAATGGAAGAACAGATAGCCATACAGGAAGCAGCTTCTGCGGGGTTGAAAAGCATGGAGCATCTAATCCGTCTCATTTCTTCTTCTTCATCTTCTTCTTCTGCGCCATCCTCTTCCACACGCCACCACCGTCTCGATCTCAATCAACTTGACTGCACACAAATCACCGACTTCACGGTTTCCAAGTTCAAACAAGTCATCAACCTGTTGAATCGCACCGGTCACGCTCGCTTTCGTCGCGCGCCTTCTTCTCCTTCTCCTTCTCCTTCTCCCTCTCCCCCTCCCTCTGTTCCTTCTCAACCTCACTCCCTCACTCTTGATTTTGCCAAACCCCTTCTCGTCAAGTCAAATCCCAATCTTAACCCTTCTTCTGCCCATTTATCCATTTCTCGCTTCTCAAACACCAAGGACAAGGATAAGGACTGCAACTATACCATATCCCCTCCCATCTCAACCACCACCTCCTCCTTCATGTCCTCCATCACCGGCGACGCCAGCGTTTCCGACGGCAAGGTTGGCCCCTCCATCCTCGCCGCCGCCAAGCCCCCTCTCTCCTCATCCCACCGGAAAAGGTGTCACGACGCCACCCTCTCCGCCGGAAAAGCCTCCTCCTCCGCCCACTGCCATTGCTCCAAGAGAAGGTAAATTAACACCCATTCCTTCAACAATTCTCAACAAGACAAATATAAAAAAATTAATATATCTTATTTTATTTTTCAAAAAAAAAGGAAATCCCGAGTGAAACGAATGATTCGTGTGCCGGCGATAAGTTCAAAGGTTGCCGATATCCCCGCGGACGAGTACTCATGGAGAAAGTACGGTCAAAAGCCCATCAAGGGATCACCCTACCCACGGTAATTTTTCTATTCCTACCTCCTCCGTCACCTTTAATCCCTTAAAGTCAAATATCAGAGGCCATTTTTTCACACTAATTTAAATATTTTAACATTCAATGGAAATTGATAATGATTAATGGGTGTTGACAGGGGGTACTATAAGTGCAGTAGCGTGAGGGGGTGTCCAGCGAGGAAGCACGTGGAGAGAGCCCAAGACGACCCCAACATGCTCATCGTTACCTACGACGGAGAACACCGTCACCCGCAAACTCCCGCAACCGGTGCCGCTTTTACCTCTCAGGCTATTTAAACGACGTCGGCTGTTGGCAAACTCCGATACCGACACTCGTAACTGGCGTTTGCAGTTTGCAGTTGTAACCGTGGGAGAAAAAAGAATGGAACTTCTTGCAAGCGAGGAAAAGAAGCAAAGTCAACTTTTGCTTTGTGGGGTGTGACTTTTGTGGACCGAAAGAGTCGTCTACAAGACGATAAGGACTTTTGTGTAAATTTGACAAAAAAATTAATGAAATATATATATATATATATATATATATATATATATATATATATATGCTTTTTTCTATTATTATTTATTGGTTGGAATTTGGTTCTTATATTACTAAAAAATATAGGGAGATGTAATATAATGTAATGGAAGTTGAAAGAAAAGTATAGATTCCATAGGCACAAGGGTTGAAAGGGTGCCATGAAACCAAAAAAGTCAAAGGCGCAGCTCCAGAGAATCTGAGTAACTTGTCTAGTGGCTGTATGCGGTGGAGTAGGTCCCACGCCAGCTTATTCCAATGATAAAATCGGCCTTCAGTCTCAAAACCATTCACTTTACCAAATATTTGTATTTAAATAAAGAATTTACGAAAATAAAGTTAAATGATAATATTTTTGTCATCAAAAGAATGGGTTACTTTGCTGGGGTGATTGGTTTTGTCTTTGACTCATAGAAGTGGGAGTTGTGGTCAAATAAGCAAATGAATCCCACAAACAACACTATTCACGTGGCGCTGCTGCTCTTCAATTCGGTCAACCCACCCGTCTTGTGGTCCCCCCCTTATTCTATAAACTTTAATTTGGGATGCGCTTGCTTTGAATTTACTTTACCTTCATATGCATCTACTTATAATTTCAATCATTCAAGGGATTTCAGATATATAAATGAGTTTAATTGTTGTCAAAAAATTATATTTAAATATATTTTAATTCTTTATAACTTTTGTTTAATTTTTCCCTTCTAGATTTATTTCTTTAAAAAAAATCATGTAAAACACTATTTTAAGATGATACCTAAGACGACATAATTAAATGCATGCTACGTTATTATTAATTCCTCAGTGATAGTATAAATTATTAAAATAAAATTTCTCTTCCTCTATCAATTATCAAATGTAGTTTAACTAGCATGGAAACAAACATACTCCAAAGAATTCATATGATACACACTTAATGGTACATATCAAGAGAAATTCTTGTCTAACAGATTTTGGCCAGCTTTAGTACACGTGTAACATGTTGGACCACCCATAGATAAATTTTCTTTAGTCTTTATTTAAAATATTTCTAATTTGAAAAATTTTGAGTTGACCATTTTAGTATTTCAGACACTGTAAAGAGACAACAATTAAGACTAATTTGGGGGCGTCTTTTGGTTTTACTTGTCAAATTTATTAAATTACGACAACTAAATAAAATAAAACAACATGGACTAATCAACATACGACGATTGCAAAATATGTCTTATGCCTGATATACCACAGCCTCCTCGCCGGCCCCAGAGAAGAAGACAGAGAGATCAAAATTAATTAAGGACTAAAAAGACATACATAAATAGTAATAAACCAAAGACTTAGATCAACAAAGGATGAATAAACATCATTTGGGGATCAATAGACATTAATAACCCACAATTAAATGAATTCATGATGGATGAATCGTAACAATTCTTTATGAGAACAGCTATTCGTGAAGATGTAGATTTAACACTTTATTTTTTAAGTATATGTCTTCACACATATTATTAATACATTTAAAAATTATATTTTAATCGTATAAATTAAACAAAGCATTCAAAAGAAAAGGGAGTCTCACTATGTGCAAATTTTATTAGGTCACCAATTCCTACAAATTACAAACAGAAATTTTAAACTTAGAGATACCTCAATAGTCTCTAACTCTGAAAAAAAATTATGCCTTTAAGAAGTATACATCATTCTTTCGTTCTAATAATATCACGTTGGAAGTGTATATTTCCATGATCCAATTCTACAGTAATTCATGCCATTTGAATTTGCTTATCATGCTTTATCATGACCTTTCAGTAATTTTTTTAAAGCCTTCTAGTACATTTTACAATTAAACTTATGGATAAGCACTTAACTAAATTATTTATCTAAGAACGTCTTGAATGTATTTTACTAAATTATAATATAAAAAATATAGTTAAATTTAGAAATGGTAATGACCAACAAATTGTTGTGATACATACATAATCAATGAAAAATACTAAAGAGTAACTAAATATTGCTTTCACATGTGTGTAACAAAGACTTAAGAGAAACTCTTTTACTAATAAAAAAAAAATGTTGATCTCAGCCATAGGAGCTGAGGATAATAAACTAATAATAGTAAAATTTTAGTAAAAAGATAAATTTTTATTATACTTTTATAGCTTTAATTTAATAAATATGTATTTTTAATATTTTTTATTTATTAATTCATGTTTAAACTTAATTTTAAGAATTGAGGTTAATAATATATAATAAATCATTTTCAGAAAAAAAAGGAAAGAAGTTATATTAGTTTCAATTTTACACATCATTGCTTTGGTTGGTAATCCAAAAAATTAGAGTCATTGAATATTTTAAGCTATTTTATAAGTGCATATTGGATTCATTTGCAAATTCAAGAGAAAATTTTGGGTGTAGTTTTTTTTTTTTTTAATTAGGGCAAACCCCATCGCTTGTACTCTTCCTTTGGGTATTTGTTGATAGTACCTTTCTTTGTCAATAGATGATAGTGTTTTTTTTGTTGTTAACAATAATTAATAGTACTCTAAGTTTCAGTCTTAGGGTTTGTTGTATATTTCCTTATGTATGTTGGGCCACTGATTTGGGTAAGAGTGGTGACACAGCCAGCCACATTTGGACCCAAAAAGCCCACCGTTGCATACATTAAAACTCAATAAATAGTGTAACGCATTCAACATTTTATTTGAGTTCGTTCAATTAGTTAAGCTGAAATTTTATTTCGGAATATGAGTTCTGAACTTTTACTTTTTCCTTTGAATTAGCTAATTTAAGTTGTGAGACATGAATTATGAATTATAAATTATAAATGTACAAGTTGGATTTTTTTATAATGCGCACTCCTCTTTTTCATTCTCTTATTTTCTTTCTTTTTCTCCCCTTAAAAAACGTACTATGAGTCTCTACTTTCACTTATTTTTTTTTTAAATTTATGATGATGAAATGGACAAGGTTAAAATCTTAAAAGAAAGTTATCTATGTGTCTAATATCAATCTATTTATTTTAGTTATTTCACTTTTAATGAATTTTTATTTATCTATTTTTTTGTGTGTTTTTCATATTTTAATACTTCAAAATTGACGTCAATCATTTTATTTATTTATTTGTAAACTTTATTATTTTTTATCTTATTCTTTTGAAATAAAAAAAATTATTGAATATTATATATTAATTTATTTTGTTAATGTTTTATTGATCACATATTATAATTTGTTTATCTGTAGTTACCAAAATTCCTTTCTAACAATTACTTTATTTAAAGCTGAAACTTTGGTCCTCTCAATGACTACACTCAGCCCATATGATTTTTTGTTGCATTCAGAGAAATGATTTAAAAGTTTTGACAAATATTAATGCATAATTAGGTGTTAATTAGTTGGCAGTTAAGTAGTGTTTTCTTGGTGATAGATATCGTGAAGAACCTTCGAGTATAACAAGCAATTAACCGCATATTTCCAAAACTAAAAAAACTGACCTATGCGAAGTTATTAATGAACATGTCATACATACAAGTTCCATATATGATTAGAGACTGCGAAAAAGGGATTATTAATTAAGATTAACAGCAACACAAGCCAAAGCGGTTGTGTATAAATTATACAAAATTTGAGATTAGATATATTTTTTATCCTTATCGATCTACTGAAGATCGAAGTAGTTGCATACAGGCGGCAAGGAGTAAATGAGTTGAACAGTTCAACTCATCACATGTGGGTTATTCCACAAGGTTAACGAAGCATCTGAATATCAGAATATATCAACTCCTTGTTTAGCCAAAAATAGTTTGCAGAATATATTTGGCTAAACAATTATTCCCCTTCCCAACATATGTGAATTAATTAGGAGACAACGATCATGGAACCATCTTTATATATTTTCAATATCTCCATGTTTCATCACCCGGATAGCATAGTATTCAGATGGAGAATCTAATTCGCAAATTATGCCAAGTGCTGACATTACTTTTCATCTCAATTGATCAATTAATATTTCTTTTCTTGTATAGAATATTGTTTTAATATGCCCATGGGCTCAAAACAGTTGTCACTTTAAAGTTAAAATTATAAATTAGTTACTCATTAAGTAGTCATATAATTTTATCTTTTAAGTTTAAATATTAACTAAAATATTATAATTTATATTTATTATTCTCATTCTTATAATAAATAAGTGTTCTTACTTAAGTATTTTTATGTAAGTATTTCATAAAAATTACTATAATATCATATACTTTACTTAATAAATTTTAGTCATTGATTTAACAAAATGGTAAGAAAAAATTGTACCAAAATTATCGCTAATGTTAATTGATCTTAGTTTATTCAATGTTTGTATTTAAAAGTATGTTTTGAAAAAAAATTAATTAGCACAGTTACATTGATTATACAATTAGGTTCAGAATAGCAACTATTTTTTTGAGCGGTTAATATATAGTTGTTAAGAATAACAACTAACGTATTGATTCGTGTTGAAATATGAAAATAAATATACGTAAGTACAAAAACAAGGTGCAACCATGTGAGCATTATCTGAGAGGGAGATGGCTGATGGCCCACCAAAATCAATGTTATTTATAAGATTAGAAGAGCTCCAAGTGTGAATGCATGTGATGAGTTTGAAAGACAAGACAAATGAAACACAAGAATATAATATGTAGGCAAATGGAAGCATCTTCATTTTAATAGCACATAATGACAAACTTCATAGGATACCTTGTTCGTTAGACTTCTTCCTCTTTTAAATTATGGTCATTTTTAAAATCACCAATTCCTCATCTATCTTGTTGATTAGAGGCTCACGTCTCTGATAATGAGTTACTTAGACTACGATGTGTGGCCTACCAGTAGGCACTAGTCACCAAGCAGGTCCTATATATTCTTTCGCACACATTGGATGCTTATCCGTGACGCATGAAGATGGACTTGAAACCGTTCACATATCCCACTTTTGGATTTACTCATTCATATATGGAATTAACGTGTTCTACCAAAAGGAGT